GTCGGCCGTGTACAAGGCAAATGCCCACCTGCTGTGCTATTGCTCTAGCCCCTAAAACAGGGATTTTTAAGACCTATTTGCTAGTTGTGAGTGGAAAAAAAAAGTTAAAATTAAAAAATTATTTTAAAAATTGAATCACTGGGGCTGGAGAGATAGCACAGCGTGTAGGGCGTTTGCCTTACATGCGGCCGACCCGGGTTCGATTCCTAGCATACTATATATGGTCCCTGGAGCACCGCTGGGAGTAACTCCTGAGTGCAGAATGAGGAATAACCCCTGTACATCGCCAGGTGTGACCCAAAAAGCAAAAAAATAGATAAATAAATAAACAAAAAATAAAAATTGAATCACTGTGACACACAAAGTTACAAAATTGTTCATGATTTGGTTTCAGTCATATGTTCCAACACCTGTCCCTTCACCAGGTCACATTTCCCACCACCAATGTCCCCAGTTTCCCTCCCACTTCCTCCACCCCCTGCCTGCCTCTATGACAGTCACTTTCTCTCTCTCTCTCTCTCTCTCAAGAGTTAGACTGCTGAAACGGGCTTAGTGACTTGGGAGCCCGCTCCGGAGTTATTCAGGGAACCAGGTTTGTTGTTCCAAGACCAGATCCCCAGGAGGTGGTACTGTTTGGGCCACACGAAGTGGTATTCTAGGGGTCATGTGGTACCAGGGTCCAACCTCAGGCTGGGTTCCACCTGCACTGTCTCCTCAGCCCTGGTTATCGCTACTGGTGTTAATTAGCATCTTGCAGGCCAAACAAAATGTGACCAAAAAGAGACAGAGACTGAAAGAAAGCAAGGGGGGAAGACGAGAACGAGAAGTAATGGGTGAGCAGACATCAGGGTTTCAGTTATCCCGGTGACATGCGTGAACAGTAGAGACATATATCCAACACACAGACTCAGCAGAACGGAATGAGATTTAAGTGGCAACCACTGAAATGTTGTAATATGCCCATCAAGTTGACAGACAGGGGTGGAGTGCGGGCTAGGGCGGGGGGAATCTGGGGACAGAGGTGGAGGGGAGTTGACACTGGTGTAGGGATTGATGTTGAATTGCTGTAGGCCTAAAAGGCAATTATCAGTAACTTTGTAAATCATGGCAAAAAACGCCTTACCCACTGTTCTATCGCTCCAGCCCCTCAGTAACTTTGTAAATCATGGCTCTTTAAGAAAAAAATGTATTCTTTTTGGGTCACACTGGGCAATGCTCAGGGGTTACTCCTGGCTCTGCACTCAGGAATTACTCCTGGCAGTGCTCGGGGGACAATATGGGATGCCGGGAATCGAACCCGGGCCGACCGCGTGGAAGGAAAATGCCTTACCCACTTTACTATCACTCCAGCCCCTCAGTAACTTTGTAAATCATGGCTCTTTAAGAAAAAAATTTAAAAATTTTAAATTTCTTAAATACAAAAATAGAAATATAAAATACAAAAAAAGTTAAAAAAATCACAAAACCCAGTATGAGGAAAAACTCATATGGGGGTTGACACCGTGGGAAAGTAAAGTTTCCCTTGAAATGGCTTTTGCAATATAAAATCAACTACTGTGGGCCTGCGACAGGGGCACATATGAGGGGTGGTTGGGAAAATGGAGAGAAGGGTGGAAGGAAGGCAACAGTGATGGTGGGATTAGGGTTGGAATATTGAATGCCTGGAACAAATAATCACGAACAACTCTGTAAACCATGGTGTTTATTTATTTATTTTAAATTTAATTTTTTTTTGGCTTTTTGGGTCACACCTGGCGATGCACAGGGGTTGCTCCTGGCTCTGCACTCAGGAATTACTCCCGGCGGTAGCTCAGGGGACCATATGGGATGCTGGGAATCGAACCCGGGTTAGCTGCATGCAAGGCAAATGCCCTACCTACTGTGCTATCACTCCAACCCCTAAATTTAATTTTTAAAAGTTTTTTTTTATTGAATCACTGTGAGATAGACCCTTCCAAAGCTGTTCATGATCAGGTTTCAGTCCTACAGTGCTCCAACACCCGTCCCTCCACCAGGGCACATTTCCCAGCACCAGGGTCCCCAGGTTCCCTCCCATCACCCCCACTCCCTGCCTGCCTCTATGGCAGGCACTTTTTTTTAAAAAAATTATTTATTGAATCATCGTGAGAGCAGTTACAAAACTTTCGGGTGTAAGACTTGGTCATACAACAATGAAACACCTCTCCCGTCAACAACGCCTATTTCCCACCACCAACAACCCCAGTATACCCCCCCTCACCCCACACCTTCCCCCTACCTGTATGGCAGATGATATCCACATTACTCTCTCTCTACTTTGTTTTGTTTTTGTTTTTTCCTATTTTTGGGTCACACCCAGTGACGCTCAGGGGTTACTCCTGGCTCTGCACTCAGGCACTCAGGAATTAACTCGGGGTGGGGCTTGGGGGACCATCTGGGATGCCAGGGATGGAATCCAGGTCGGGCGCGTGCAAGGCAAACGCCCTCCTTGCTGCTCTAACGCTCGTCCCCCCCTCTACTTTGATTACATTCTATATTTCAACATCAACCCCACCATTGTTATTTGAGATTATTCCCCAACTTAGATCTATGGCAGGCACTTCTCTCTCGCTCTCTCTCTCTCTCTCTCTCTCTCTCTCACAACCATGGTATTTAAATAAAATGGGGGGGTGGCGGAAAGAAATAACTTTTTCATGGCATAGCATTATTAAGTGCCTATAAATGATATATATATATTTAAAAAAAAAGAATCACACTGGATTATTTAATAGCAGCCTGTTGACCAAAGTGAGAACTTTCTGCAAGGGTTATGCTTAACACACAGGAAGTGGTGAGGGGAGCTTGAAGCTTGCACTGTTCTTTGGTCTTGAGTCCTTGGCACATACTCAGAATCTCATTCCTGGGGCGAGGATGAATTTGTACTAAACCACCTTGCTGTCTCTTATCGAGGTTCTCTTGTGACTTGTCTCTTATCAAGGTTCTCCCGTGACTCCTCTTATCTTGGTTCGAGGGTAGGGAATAGTTGTGGGGAATAGTTCAGTTCAAGAGAATGATTAGAGGTGTGACATGTTACCACTGGATAGTTTTTCTTTTCCTTGTAGCCAGTTGGCATAGGAATGGATCCTATAATAGAGATATGCTTGTTACATTCCACTTTAGTGAAAGGATGGTAACAACCAGCACAACCATTGGAATTGCTTCCAAAGGCATTAAGATGGAACTGGGGGGCTTTCTGGGGCCTGGAGCGATAGTACAGTGGGTAGGGCGTTTGCCTTGCACGCAGCCAACCTCGGTTCGACTCCCAGCATCCCACGTGGTCCCCCGAGTACCACCAGAAGTAATTCCTGAGTGCAAAGCCAGGAGTAATCCCTGTGCACCGTCGGGTGTAACTCAAAAAGAAAAAAAAACCTCTCTTTTGGCCAAATTTCTGAGTACAGAAAATTATCAGTGTTATCCCTTTTGTCAAAACACTTCTATCTAGTTAGAACATATCAAGACAGAAACGATTTTTTTGGTTTTGTTTTTGGGGACACACCCAGTGATGCTCAGGGATTACACCAGGCTCGGCATTCAGGAATTATTCCTGGTTGTGCAGGGCCCATAGGGGATGCCATGGGTCCAACCCACGTCAGCTGTGTGTAAGGCAAGAACCCTACCAGCTGTATACTACCTCTCCAGCCCCATAAATAGCTTTCTTCTCTAGCAATTTCCTCCTGGTTCTGGGCCACACTTGGAGGTGCTCTGGGAATCGTGGTGTGGGGGATTTAAACTGGGTCTCCCGTATGTGTGCAGTTCATTAAGATAGCACGTGTGCAGTTCATTAAGACAGCTCTCTGGCCCAAGTCAACAGATGGCATGTGCGTTATACAAACATCAACTTTATGAAACACCATGCCTGGCAGTGTGAGTGAGTCAGGCCCAGAGCTAAATAGACTCTTGGGATCTGTTGTAATAAGGGTTAATAAAGAACCTTCTGGGAACAAGCCCCGTAGCTAGGGGAAACGTGAAGCAGTTGTGAGAGTTTTGATATGTCTCATCATCTAGAAACCTTGAAATGAACAAAGGGGAAAAGAAAAAAAGAACTTGGCAGAGAGGGACATTTGGACATTATTTTCAGGGTAAGCTTCTGGGTCCAGGTGAGGAAATGAGTACGCAAGGGTATTAAGGAGGAACAGAGGGAAACAAAGTGTCAAACAACAGCTACCTAAATACAATGTGTTTGAACAAAGTGTCAAACAACAGCTACCTAAATACAATGAATTTTTTTTAGAGTTTAAAAAAAAAAGACTATTATGAAATTGGAAAAAACCCAAAAAACAATAACAACCAAAAACGTGCTGACTAAAATATGGAAAATTTACTGTTCATTTCTGGCTGTAGAGATCCACGGGGAGAGGTATAACATTTGCAGCAAGAAAACTGGGGTTCGGGCACAGCGGGGAGGGCGTTTACCTTGCACGCGGCTGACCCGGGTTCGATTCCCAGCATCCCATAGGGTCCCCTGAGCATCGCCAGGGGATGCTCCCCTAATTCCTGAGTGCAGAGCCAGGAGGAACCCCTGAGCATCGCCAGGTGTGATTCCCCCCCAAAAAGAAAGTTGGTTTCTTTCATGTCTATGCAGTCTGTCTTTCCAAACTGATGACCCAAAGGAAGTACGAGAGAGAAATTCGATTTAGGGGTCCCCCCTGGAATCCAAAGGAAGGAAGAGAGATGAATTCGATTTAGGGGTCCCCTGGGGACCCCCCAAATCTCTCTGAAGTCAGATCTTAGTAAGAAAGTGAGCATGCACCAGAGCTCCCGTTTCGGCGGACCTGCTTACACCTTGGGGGTGCGGTGTCGGGGCTCTCCAACTCCCAGCACCGGGGAGCTCAGGTCTTTGCCCCGCGGGCCCGTAGGGAACGCGCGTGCGCGCCGCCGCCGCCGCCGCCGCCGAGGAAGCGGCGCTCGGGAGCGCGCACGCAGCACCGAGGGGCCCCGACGTGCGCGCTCCCGCGCCGCCTGTTCGCGGCCCCGCCCCCTCCTCGCCTCTTCCTGCCGGGCGGCCGCGTCCCCTCCCCGCTCGCTCCCTCCCTCCGCCCTCCCGGGCTCCGGCGGCCGCCGCCGACGAGCGAACGGGACGGGACGGGCCCGCGGAGGCGCGCGGGGCGCTCGGCGGAGTTACGGGGCTCTGTCGGCGGAGCCGGAGGAGGTGAGCGAGGGCGGCCTGCCTGGGCGGCCGGCGGCCCCCCCCGAGAGACGCGGGCCGGGCCCGGGGAGTGTTGGCTCCCGGGTGGAGCCCCCCGGGGGTCCCGGAGCGGGAGGTGAGGCGGGGGAACGCGGGCGCCTTCGGGTCTGTCCGGGTCGCGCCTCTGGGGGCGGCCGGTCGGCTTCTTACCTGAGGGGACCTGAGGAGACCTGAGGAGACGGGGTGCGGGGGCCCCCCGAGGGTGTTGGCTCCCGGGTGGCGTCCCGGAGTCCCGGGAGGTGAGGAGAGGGGGACGGTCCGGGACGCCTCCGGGTCTGTCAGGGCCGCGCCGGGGGCTGCAGCGCCCCCCGTCAGGTCTCCTCAGCGGAGGAGACCTCGGGGTGCCGGGCCCTCGCCGTGCCCTCCTGACATTGCCGGTTTTGGGGGTGTGGGCGGCGGATGTCCTGGGACCCCCCCCCCCGGGCCCCACGCCGCCGCGCGTCGGGCTTCCTGCGGGACCGTGTCTGTGGTGGCAGTGGCGGTGTCGCCGTCCCGGGGGCGTCGGGGTGGGGGTGGGGGCGGGGCTCCTCGGTGGGGGCCCCCCCGCCGTGGACCGTCAACTTTGACACCGGGCACTGCGCGCGGCGGAGCGAGTGTCGCCATCCCACAAGCCCTCAGCCCCCCAACTCCTCAGCCCCTCAGTTCCCTCAGCTCAACTTCTTCAGCCACTCCTCAGCCCCCCAACTCCTTAGCCCCTCAGTCTCCTCAGCCTCTCGAGTTCTTCACCCCCCAATTCCCTCAGCCCCCAACTCCTCAGACCCCCAACTCCGTCAGCCCCCCAATCCCCTCAACTCCCCAATTCCCTCAGCCCCCAATCTCCTCAGCCCCCCAACTCCTCAGCTCTTTAATCTCCTCAGCCCCCCAACTCCTCAGCCCCTCAGTTCCCTCAGTTCAACTTCTTCAGCCACTCCTCAGCCTCTTGACTTCTTCAGCCCCCCATCCCCTCAGCCCCCCAACTCCTCAGCCCCCCATCCCCTCAGCCCCCAACTCCCTCAGACCCCCAACTCCTTCAGCCCCCCAATCCCCTCAGCTCCCCAATTCCCTCAGCCCCCCAATCTCCTCAGCCCCCCAACTCCTCAGCTCCTTAATTTCCTCAGCCTCTCAACTCCTTCTGCCCCCCAGTTCCCTCAGGCCCCCAACTCCTCAACCCCTCAATTCCCTCAGCCCCTTAACTTCTTCAACCTCCCCATCCCCTCAGCCCAACTTCTTCAGCCCCCCCAATCCCCTCAGCACCTCAACCCCTTCAGCCCCCCAATTCCCTCAGGCCCCCAACTCCTCAGCCCCCCAATCCCCTCAGCCCCTCAACTTCTTCAGCCCCCAATCCCTTCAGCCCCCAACTCCTCAGCCCCCCAATCCCCTCAGCCCCTAACTTCTCAGCCCCTCAATCCCCTCAGTCCCTCAATTTCTCCAGCCCCATCCCCTCAGTCCCCCAATTTTATTCAGCCCCCAATCCCCTCAGCACCTCAATCCCTTCAGCCCCCAACTCCTCAGCCCTTTAATCCTCTCAGCCCCCCAATCCCGGAGTCCACGTTTCCGAGCCAGGAGCCTCCAGCTCGGGGCGGGGTGCTGATGCCGCACACCCGCCTTGAGGCATCTGAGGAACTGTGCGTTTGGAGTTGGTGGTCACCAATGCGTTTCCTGCCCGGGAGGGAAACGTCAAACCCGGCCGCAGCGCCCGCTCCCTAGCTCCCTTGCTCGCTTGAAGTTTTGCTGGCCCGGCACAGGGTGTCAGCGCAGCCCGACTGCAAACTGTTTTGCAGGCCTGTTACTTCGGGCGACCCGCAAGGTTTCCGGGAGTTTTGGGATCGACGCTTCTCTCTGATGCACGGGGTCGGGTTCTAGCGCTGGAGGGTGCAATTCCCAGCGAGCCCTCCTGGGTGTTTTTTCTTTTTTTCTCCTCCTCAGCGGGGTGCTTTGCGTTTGGCTTCTGTGACGCCCCCCTGCTGCAGCCGAACTCAGTTGTTTCCGAGGTCAGGAGACTTGGAGCTTGCTTGGGTGCAAACTGGAAGGGGATGCGTCTCCGTCTCCTTGGGAAAGTGGCCTGGGTGTGATTCGTGATGACAATAGCATCCCTGCAACGCCAACGCCGCCCCCACGGGGAGATTGCAAAGGAGGAAGAAGCCGGTCTGCTTTGGGCAGGAAAGAAAATCGGATTAAATGTTGAGTTGCTTGAGGAGTGAAGACTTGGACCGTTGTCCGTATCAGCTAGTTCAAGATGTGTTCTGAGGCGGCTGATGGAGAATTGTGGGGAGAAGTGGCTGTAGTGGGAACGTGCTTATCACAAGTGAACGAATTGTATTGCATTGTATTCTAGAAAGTTGGGAATGTTGTGCTCTAGGAAGTCCAGTGCTTTTGAGCATGTAGTAAATGCACTGACCAACATAAAAAGGGCTGACTGAAGTCTTTCTTCTTCTTCTTTTTTTTAAATCCCTGAGTTATAGTTGATAGGAATATTTATACATTGTAGATGTGGTATTTTTTAAAATTTTTTTTAATTTTATTTTTAAAAAAATTTACATTTTTTATGGAAGCACTGTGAGACAGACCCTAACAAAACTATTCATGATTAGGTTTAAGTCATTCAATATTCCAACACCCATCTCCCCATCAGTATACATTTCCCAGCACCAATGTCCCCAGGTCCCCTTCCACCCTCTGCCTGCCTCTATGGCAGGTGTTTTCCTTCTCTCCGTCTCTGTCCCTGCTCCTGTTCTCACTGCCCTCCTCCTTTTGGGCATTGTGGTTTGCAATGTGAATACTGAAATATTATTAAAAATATCACTTTGCCTACTTTTAACACTAAGTTCTTGTCCAGCGTGATCATTCCCAGCTGCTATTATCATCATACTGGTCTCTTCTCTGTCTTACCTACCCTCCACCCCACACACTCTTGTGGTTGATTCCAACCATTGACCAGTCTTCCTAACCCCTGTTTTCCCTGGTCATGGATACTAGTCTCATACTATATATATATTTTTATATACCGCAAATGAATGCAGTGAAATTTTGTTCCTTAATAATAGTTTTGTGACTCACATCTTTTGCTCTGGTAGCTATTATTTTTTAATTTAATTTAAAAACAACTTGGAACTTATGAAAACTTATGAAACCTGTTTTCATGTTTATCAGCTCATTATTTCTAAATGACTTCTAAAAATTTTTGTACTTAAAACCTTTTTGCTTTGTTGTAATGCACATTTGGCTTTGTTCAGTTAACTGTATATTTATTCAAATTTAGATGATTCAGAATGAAAACTTTCAAGTCCTTTTATCCTTTCTTTTGGTTTGTAGTAAAGAATTCTGGGGCCAGGGTGATAGAACAGCAGATAGGGCGTTTGCTTTGCATGAAGCTGACCCAGGTTTGATCCCTGGTATCCCATATGGTTCTTCTGAGCCCTCCAGGACTGATTATGATCTCTGAGCACCGAACCAGGAGGAAGCCCTGAGCTCTGTCACTCCCAAAACAAAAGACTTTTGATAAATACATAGAAGATAGGCTGGAGCGATAGTACAGTGGGTAAGGCGTTTGCTTTGCAAGTGGCCAATATGGCGAACCCCAGTTCTATTCCTCCGCCCCTCTCGGAGAGCCTGGCAAGCTACCGAGAGTATCTCGCCCGCACAGCAAAGCCTGGCAAGCTACCCGTGAAGTATTCAATATGCCAAACACAGTAACAAGTCTCACGATGGAGATGTTACTGGGCCCGCTCGAGCAAATCGATGAATAACGGGAGGACCGTGACCGCGACATAGAAGATAGGCTTCTTGTAGATTGATTATGAAGCGAGGGTAACTAGGTGGTAAAAATTTCTTATATGAAGGTTGTAGAATTGCACTCTTGGTACCAATGTCTTTTTTTTGGGTTACGCTTGTCTGTGCTCAGGCTTATTTCTGGCTCTGTGCTCAGGGACCACTCCTGGCAGGTTCATGGGACTGTATGTGGTCCTGGTGATTGAACCTAGATCAGCAGCATGCAAGGCAAGTACCCTACCCACTGTACTATGTATTTGGCCCCTACCAGTGTCTTGAAGTGGTGCAGGGATGGGAGTTTGAAAGATGAAACAGAACTGTAACCTATGGCATATCTGGTTACCTGTGAGTATGTATATCTTATATTATAAAAAAAAGTCAGCTCCTCGGGCTATTTTAACTTCTGATACTATGCAGACTACTAAGACATTTGTTAATTTAGGAGCATTTGCGCCACAGCACAGACATAGAAAATAATTGTTAACTTTAAACCTGTTTTTAATGGTAAAACAGCCAATTTCAATTTTTTTTAAGAACTATGATTTAGAGAGAATATTGGTCATTGAGTTTTAGGCATATGATATTTCAACACCAGTTCTACCACGAATGTCAACTTCCCTCCACCAGTGTTGTCATGTTTTTTCCCCACCCCAATTCCCACCCTGTCAACAGGCACATTACAAAGTTTCAGTGGTTGCAGCTGAGATCTCCTGTTTTCAGTCTTGTTGAGTCTGTAGAACAGCTACTTTTTAAGAAGAGGGCGTTGCATTTTTTTTTGTGGTATGTGGGTGATCAAACCCAGGATCTCAGGCATGAAAAGCAAGCGCTGTACTGCTGAGTTACATTTGTAGCCCTGAAGAGTTTTTATAGTGAGCTTGGAGAAAGATTGCTTGTTTTTTTTATCCCTAATTTTTTTCCAGTTTCCCTCTTGCACTTTATATAGGCACTATGGTTTACAAAGTTCATGATGATTTGTTATAGGCATTTAATATTCCAACGCCAATCCCACCATCATTATACCTTCCCTCCTCCATGTCTCCAATTTTCCCAACCACCACTTAAGATACATTGCATGTTGACGCATGTCTTTTTAGAGTGAGACATGATTTTCATGTTATGGTCAGTAAGTTGAAATTGGGTATAAGTGCACGAACATTATCAATCCTAAATAAGGGAGACTTGATGGAATTAAGCAGAACTTGTACCTCCACATTCTC